AGCTGCAAAAGACACAGGCGCAAGTGGAATGTACAAAACATGGTGACATAAAATTTTAAGTAAATATAATGTGCGATATATTGCGTCACCAAAAATTATTGAGGTCATGTACATATATTGCGCGATAAGTCGATATATTGATTATTGCGACAGGCCTAGACTTTATAACTCGCATTTATGAGTTTATATCTCACAATTCTGAGAAAAGAACTTAGAATTCTGAGATATAAACTCACAATTGCTAGAAATAGAGATATAAACTCACATTTTCTGACTTTTTTTTTCTCATAGTTGCGAGTTTAGGCCTATATCCCGCAATTCTGAGGAAAAAAGTCAGTGTGAACTTGTTTTTGCAAGAAAAATAGTCAGAATTGGGAGATAAAAAGTCAGTTACCTTTTTATTTCATATTCAGTGACGGAAACAGACTTCCATAATTTATCAACTTTATCTGCATTCTGCACCATTAGCAAAAACTGAACATTTTTTGTGTATCATTGAATCATTCACTTAACCGATTCATTACAAATACTAAGTCATATATATTAAAATGAGTTTTTCCATATATATCGTAAACGCTTTGCTACAAATGACGACAATTCATGTCTTTTTTCCCTCCATTTTGTCCACTCTTGGGCATGACTTTTATCAAGATGTGGGGAAAAAGGCATAAATGAATTAATAGTTTTAATAATAATAATATCCTTGTCATTTGATTTGTTTGGACATTAGTAACACAATCATAATCCCTTCTTCTCTTTCTTATTTTAAATGAGATTCGATTTCTTTTGTTCAGTAAGAAGATACTTGTTCAAGTACAGTTTTGTTGTTTGTGCAGTTCGTTCATGAATGACTTGTTTAGTTTGTTCAGGTTGTTCATGAATAAGTTGCTTTGTTAGCAGATTGGATGGGTTTTTGAACAGTGTGGCTGAAATAACTTACAGCAGCTTTAATAGAATCTTGACGCCTGAGGTTTAAGGATAGTTTGTTTCATTGCACTGACTTTGTGCTAGGGCTGTGCGATTTGGGGATCTAGAATATCTATGGCTTTTTCTGTCTGTACAATAGGGCTGTGCGATTTGGGGGAAAATATCGAATTGCGATTTTTTTTGACAGATATTGCGATTTGATTTGCGATTTTAAATTTGCAAAGTCAAGCTTCAGCTCAATATTGTCAGTAATGTGCAGCACAGTATGGGTATCATTACCCTGCTGAAGAAAACAATAGAAACTATCACAGGAATTCTTATAGTTTCCATTAAACCATTACAAAATTCCTTTTTGTTTTGGGCATTATTCCAATAGGAATTACTGTTGTTCTATTGGTTGCCATCTGCCAGATTACATCCCACCAATAGAATCCATCAAATAGACACCATTATAGTTTACATTAAAACCAAACAAATTCCCATTATAACCCTGAAATCCATTACATTAGTGTTTTGGGAGGGGTTCTATTGTTTTTTTTTTCATCAGGCAAGATTATAATGGTATAACTACTTTTACAGAATTAACTTAATTTCACAGAAAATATTTGTTTATTTTTTATAAATAAAGAACTGTATTTCTTAAGTCAATTATTAAAGTATTACATATGTTACATAGTAGTGTAACACCACCACTACTACTAATTATTTTATTACTGATATTAATGTTTTTATGCACATTTTGCTGTATAGCTGCAGTATTATGCAATATCCTGCATAAAATCAAATTACATTCTTAATACACTTTCCTGCTCTAATTGTTAAAGGGATAGTTCACCAAAAAAGGAATATTTTGTCAATATTTGATTACAACGACATGCCATTGTGAGTTTTTTCACTCAAATTTGCAACTAAAAATAGGTCTTTTCAAACTGTAAAATGTTTAGTATGTGTGCGAGGGGGGAAAAGGGGTCCTTAAAGAGATAGTTCACCTTCAGTTACTGGTCCCCATGGACTTTCATGGAAAAAACAAACACTATGCAAGTCAATAGGGACCAACTGAAGGTGAACTATCCCTTTAAAAAGTTACTGATAAAAAGTTTTCTTTGTTACTGTTAAAAAGTTACTGAAAAAAAGTGTTCTTCCAAAGAAAACAAATGCTGAAGTTCAGTACTCTTTAATATTTTGCATCACTTTTCAACACCCTTTTACTTCCCTTTAAAGTTCATTAAAGGGAACTGATACATCTTGCACATGTCAGGTGCAAGTAATTTAGTCTTAAACTTTCAAAAACTGATGTTTAAGCTGCTAGTATCTGTACAGACTGGCAGTGAATATTTAGTCACCAACTGCTTTTCCATGAAGACAAGCTCAAGGTCACGTTGTCAGTACACACACTCACACCAGAAATAGCACCCATTAGCTGACTGTCTGAGTCTCGACCACTTCATTTAATATGATTTATTATGCCTAAATGTCATGTTAAAGTGATTGCGAAAGTCATTTATCCATTGAAGGTCCTTGGCTTTTTACCCTCTTTCATTATGACCGAGTATTCATGATAGATCTGTTCCAAAACCTAGTCCTGTAGCCTGTAGTGTGATATATAACCCATGATTTACACCGCACGCGTCTGTTACGGCTCCGACTGAGTCCGAGTCCGACGCGGCCACCGGAGCTGATCGCAGCCATGCTTGTGTTATACCAGCCATGCCGCGGCACGTTTCTGAAGCGGCTCTCTGTGCCGCTTCGCTATAGATAGGCACCTAGTCTATTTTTGATGGACGCCGCGTCCAAGCCGCACAGCTCAAATTCAAAATAAAAAAATCTAAATATACACCCTGTGCAAAACTGGCAAAATTTTTAACTTGTTTAAAAAATTTAAAGTGTTCATTTGTTTAACAAAAAATACCTTGTATTGGTAGCCTACTATTTTAAAAATGCTTTATGCCCTGTAGACCTTCCAGTAGGAGAACAAATGCCAGTGTTATCCTCCTGCTCACGGGCACTGTAATTTCGTGGGGAAAACATTGAAATAATTTGTCGTTTTATCTTGCAAAGATTACGTTTTCTACACATATTTTTATGAAAATGGATATAGTTATTTTTTGGATTATAAATCACGTTTTAATTAGGGATGTAGCGATTAACCGCGAGCCGGTTGAAAATCGATTGTGATGATTCAAATCGGTTGAGATGCTAAACAAATCGCGATTCAGTTAGGGGTAGGAGTTTATATGAATGTATGTCTGAGGGGAACTTACTGTCTTTCGATGGTATTTTTTCTTTTCCTCTTGCCTCTGTATAATGCATGTTAAAGTTCATAAGTGCAGCGCTGCTTTGTTTACAGCGGAAACCAAGGAAACGCTTTAAGCGCCACCTGCTGGCAGAGAGTGCATCTGCATCTCATTCAGCTCGTCTGCTGTTTCATGCAGATATTTTTTATGCATAATTTCACAAAACTAAAGTCAAATCATTCTGTTTTTGCTTCAAATTTCGAAATTATACAATCTAATTTAGATTAAAAACTGCTCATGTTGCATGTATGCAGCATCTTTGTTTGGATCATGATTAAAATGCAGTGGTTGCCTCTCGTTTTAAATGAAAAGAGCACAGACAAAGCCTTAGTTTGTTTATATAAAAGAAACGTACAGTATTTTGTCCAAGCAATAATAAAAGGACACATTTAATTTATAATATGTCTAAAATCTCTTTTTGTAAAAAAAAAAAATCGTGAATCGAATCGTGAGTTGAGTGAATCGTTACATCCCTAGTTTTAATCATCTGAAACGTGCTGCGATTTCCAAGGCGACTTATTTAAAGCAATCAGGTCAAGTGCAAAGCGCGCACATTTGGATTGGTGACGAATGAGAAAGGCAATTGAGTTTGTATTGCGCATTTTCCAGCAACCACGCAGCTAGTTTCAGTTTCTCTTTAAATATTTAGGTTGGGCGTTTGTAATAAATGTTTATAGTGAATATAATTTGTGTTTGTTTTTTACTTATATTTTTGTTCCTTTTTCTGTTCTGAACACTGCTAAATTTACAGGATTTTTTTGTGGAGTGAGGGGAATATAAATACATGTTTCTAATGTTTGTAAACGTTTAGTTTATTTTACATTATTTATGAATTAAATGATAAAATGTGTCTTATACATCAATCGACTTGTACACCATTGCAACTTATCTGTGTCATAAAGTGCTCATAAAAAATAAGGCAGAGATGGTACAAGAATAGAACTGCCATATATGTACAAGTATACATACAGTACAGTAGAGGTCAATTTAATAATAAAAAAAGCTTAATTTGTCATACACATATTATGCGACCCTTCACTTGGTGTGAAAAACTTGATGTGGCCCTCGAAGTCAAAAAGTTTGCCCACCCCTGTTTAAGATGCTATTTTACTTGAAATTGTGTAAAAAATTATTTAAATTAGATTTACTGCCTATGTAGACTATTCAAAATAACTTTTAAAGGGGTCATATGATGTTGCTAAAAAGAACATAATTTTTAGTATTTGGTGTAATGAAATGTGTATCTCTTTATAAACAGACCTTAAAAACTCTAGACTAAAAGCCTAACCAATATCACCACTGTAGGGTTTTGGAGAAAAAATTTTTTTTTAGCTTTGATAATTTTAGACTTTTCTCAAATTTTTGTATGGTATATAAAATGTTAAATGGTTTAGCCCCTTCTATACTTTGTGATATTGTGCATTTTTGCTCTACAGTCTCTGTAAGATCTACTAGATCATCATCTACTAGTGATTGTGTTGTTCCTTTTCGTCATTCTGCCTTTGGGTTATCATCTTTCTCAGTGAAAGCTATTATTCATCGGAACACTCTACCAGAAGACATAAGGATGTGCACATCTATTGACATGTTTAAATTAAAACTAAAATTTTATTTAAAAGCGATTCAAATTTGTAAACACTGATATAGTTGTGGTCTCTCTTCACTCTTTCGCTTTTCGCCAGGAATATAGCCATTTCCCCGGTAACCGCAGTAAACAAAGCAGTGCAGCACCTGATTTTGCAACTTGCAGCGCTCATATTTAATCAATTAAACCATAGCCTTTTGTGCGCATGCGTGAGAGGAATTAACTGTCTATATCAGCAGCTATCAGTAGTATATATTCGTCATTCAAAAGGAGAAACAGAAACAAACTAGCCCGACCGTCGCTCGCCGTTGGCCCGACGTTGCCCGACGGCCTGGTGTGTCCCGGCCTTAATATGCATTTATTTTTACCTTACTTGCTCAACGACTCCCAAACGATTTGCTCAACGATTCATTTTTCCAAACTCCTCCTTTGCGTGAAGCTAATCGACGGTGATTGGTCCGATTGGTCTCATTTTCATTTCATCATGATTGTAATGCCTGATAAAGCAGTGTTTGTGAGCGCAGTGCTGCTTTGTGTACAGCGTTATCGGGGAAACCGCTATTTTTACTGCTCCAGAAGCAGCACCTAGTGGCAAAGAATGAATTTGCATTTTCATTCAGACCAACGCGAAAAGAACAATAAGTGGGCGGGCAATATGCTAATGTTTCATGTTGACGTCAACATGCAACGGCTTGGGATTTGGGACTAATTTCAATGATTCAGAGTCGACTCTCAGACCCTCCAAGGACATTAAAAGGATATTACCACGATCAAAGAAAATAATAAAATAATTTATTCAGCAATTCTTCTCCCAGAGTTACCGTCTTCCGCCATTTTGGAGAGTACCCCAGAACGTAATCAGCGTTGTTTACGTTCTGCATGCGCACGCTGTCTACTAATAAATGCAGCTTTGGTGAGCATTTTTCAGGATCAGAAAGAAAAATCTTTCTGCTGAAATCATCTTTGGCAGAATCAGGCTTGCCACATAATAGCATTGATATGAGCAATCTTCAGTTTAATGCATGTTTAGTCAGTTACTTGGCAACCCTTCTTGGAAGAACATTGCATTTCATGATGGATTTAATTGTTCAAAGAATACCCTTCAATTTGACTGACATAAGATTGGAGATCTGTAGTTCAGATCAGGATGGCTCAGCACTCTGAACGACATCCAAACAGCCTTTAAACATGTTCTCTGTGCAATGCAACAGCGATATTGATTCTGTTTCCCTTTTCTCTCCCTCTTGGTTTCAGATTTCCTGTTTAAGTTCCTGGTGATTGGCAGCGCTGGGACTGGGAAATCATGCCTCCTTCACCAGTTCATAGAAAACAAGTGTAAGCCCATATTAATGTCGCACTCTCACAAAGACACAAAAAAAAACACAAATGACCTTTAATTCTCAGAGCATTCAGCAGAGAGAAAGAGGGGGGCCTTGAATGTTAATTCTTTGTGAAGCCAGAGTGGCTTTACATGCTTTTGAAACATGAATAAAGGTATATTAAGCAATGAATGGAAATCATGTTGTCAGTGAGCTTAGAAAATCCAATGCCAATCTCAATTTACAGAGAAAATGAAAAAAAGAGGCTTAATTGCTGGGAATTATGTATTTTGACATTGAATGGATTTTGAATGACCCTGCCATTATGTTGTTTCCAAGACAGAAACGAGCTTTGAATGTTATATAAAAATTGAATGTGCATTGACTTAAGGAAGTCTACATGGGTCATATGATAAAACAAATCGAATTTTATGTGGTATTTTGAAGTAAAAGTTCTATGAGTGACAAAACACACTGGACTTTTGAGAACTCGTATCCTTTTATTATTTATTAGTCTCAGTTGATTTTGGACATTCAATTGTGCATGCTCATGTTGTTGGCCTGGTTCACCATGTAAGCTTAAATATACAAACACAATGTAGTCAGTTGCACACAATTTTTTTACGCTCCCTCATTGACTGAAAGCATGAAATCGCAGTGTGAAATGTAACTGTTGTGCAGGGTAAATGCATTTTGGGAATTCATATTTTTTATTTGATTGTAATATACAACTGTTCATGAGCTTTGATTGAGTCACCAGTGCACACACATATTTTTTTCACAGACAGTTTTCAGAGTAATTTGAAAGTGGTAGTAAATGTGATGTGAAAACAGCACAATTTTTTAGGCCATCATTTCTATCTAATCTTAAGAGAAACAAACAGGCTTGTTTTGTGAACAAGTCACAATGTAACAGACTTTTCAAAGAGGATATTATTGAAGGAGCCAAGTAAAATGTATTTGCCCTCACAGCAAATCTGCAACCCATCAGTAAAAGCAGTAAAGTCTTGTATCTTATTTCCCATGCGACACCAATGCATTTTTCTGAGAGAAGATTGTCATGAAGAAATAAATTATGTAATCTGGCATCCAGGATTATTATCATTAACTAAAAATATTAAAAACATTTTTTGTTAATTGAAATAAAGCTGAAATAAAATATTAAAACTTAAAAAAAAAATGAAAATGAGAAATATTGCCTGGGCAACTATCTGAAATAAGTTTAAGTTAAAGCACTAACATTACTAACTCAAAATAATTCAAAACTAAATTGTAAAAAGTGTTATCTTGAAATTGTTACCTTAAAGAACAATTAATTTTTGATTTAACTCATAAAATTAGTTTTGTTGTATTTAGGTTGATTCAGTGATTCTAAATAATGTTTTTTAATTTGAATGAATATAGATGTTACCAATTGTTTCAGTGTAAAATTTATCTAAAATTAAAACTGAAATAAAAATAAATTAAGCCTAAAAAATAATATTTAAAAAGAACAAAACTAATAAAAATGACTAAACATTTAAAGGGTTAGTTCACCCAAAACCAGGATTATTATCATTAACTAAAAATATTAAAAACATTTTTTGTTAATTGAAATAAAGCTGAAATAAAATATTAAAACTTAAAAAAAAAATGAAAATGAGAAATATTGCCTGGGCAACTATCTGAAATAAGTTTAAGTTAAAGCACTAACATTACTAACTCAAAATCATTCAAAACTAAATTGTAAAAAGTGTTATCTTGAAATTGTTACCTTAAAGAACAATTAATTTTTGATTTAACTCATAAAATTAGTTTTGTTGTATTTAGGTTGATTCAGTGATTCTAAATAATGTTTTTTAATTTGAATGAATATAGATGTTACCAATTGTTTCAGTGTAAAATTTATCTAAAATTAAAACTGAAATAAAAATAAATTAGGCCTAAAAAATAATATTTAAAAAGAACAAAACTAATAAAAATGACAAAAGCACATTACAAAATGACTAAACATTTAAAGGGTTAGTTCACCCAAAAATGAAAATTCTGTCATTAATTACTCACCCTCATTCCGATCCCGTAAAACCTTCGTTCATCTTCGGTACACAAATTAAGATATTTTTGATGGAATCTGAGAGCTGTCTGACCCTCCCATAGACAGCAAGGATATTACCATGATCAATGCACAGAAACGTAGCAAGGACATAGGTAAAATAGTCCATGTGACATCAGGGGTTCAATCATAATTTTATGAAGCTACGAGAATACTTTTTGTGTGCAAAGAAAACAATAATAACATAATTTATTCAGCAATTCTTCTCCTCAAGTTACCATCTTCCGCCATTTTTGGAGAGTACCCCAGAACGTAATTAACGTAATAAGCGTTGTTTACGTTTAGTAGACAGCGTGCGCATGCAGAACGTAAACAACGCTGATTACGTTCTGGGGTACTCTCCAAAATGGCGGAAGACGGTAACTCTGGGAGAAGAATTGCTGAATAAATTGTTATTATTGTTTTCTTTGATCATGGTAATATCCTTTTAATGTCCTTGGAGGGTCTGAGAGCTCTCAGATTCCATAAAAAATATCTTAATTTGTGTTCCGAAGATGAACGAAGGTCTTACGGATTTGGAACGACATGAGGGTAATTAATGACAGAATTTTCATTTTTGGGTGAATTATCCCTTTAACTAAAATTAAAATGAAAACTAAAAATATAAAAATAAATTCTAATGAATAATTTTAATAAACTTTAATAGTTCAGATAATACAAAAACAACACTGCTGGCATCAAACATCAATGAAACAATCTCTTTAAGCAGTTTGTCAGCTCAGCTTCTAACCAGTCATCTTCTGTCACAGTCAAACAGGACTCCAACCACACCATTGGCGTTGAGTTTGGCTCCAGGGTTGTTAACGTTGGCGGCAAAACGGTCAAATTGCAGATCTGGGACACAGCTGGGCAGGAGCGCTTTAGGTACTTGCCTGTGATTGGCTCGTTAGCACATCCTCACTGCTCTGTGCTGACTCTGATTAGTTGAGGTCATTCTCCGCTTGTGTCTTACAGGTCGGTGACCCGCAGTTACTACCGTGGAGCAGCAGGGGCGCTTCTCGTGTATGACATCACAAGGTAAGGCAGCTTGTGGGATCACCCGACCGCAAAGATAAATTTTGTTGTGAAATGAAAAAATGAATCTTTTATCTGCAGGAAATGAACTAAATCAGAGGCACATGGAGAGAATGACTGCGGCATTCAATTGAATGAGCCCCAGGTTGCCGTACTTGCGTGTGATTGGCTCGTCAGGACGTCCTCGCTGCTCTGTGCTGACACTGATTAGTTGAGGTCATTCTCCGCTTGTGTCTTACAGGTCGGTGACCCGCAGTTACTACCGTGGAGCAGCAGGGGCTCTTCTCGTGTATGACATCACAAGGTAAGGCAGCTTGTGGGATCACCCGACCGCAAAGATACATTTTGTTGTGAAATGAAAAAATGAATCTTTTAGCTGCAGGAAATGAACTAAATCAGAGGCACATGGAGAGAATGACTGCGGCATTGAATTGAATGAGCTCCAGGTTGCCATGCAGCTGTCCTGGTAATAGAGACAAAGACAGTGGAGTAATAAAGACTGACAGCGCTGTAATAAAATGTCATCTTCTGGCGAGCGGCAACTCTCGGTCCATTAGATGGGATGTGAGCACAGTGAGCGAGAAACATGAACAGAGTGATGGGATTGTGTGTTTGATGAGGGTCGTCCGTCAGCACTGAACTCTCGTCGCTGCAGACCGTTTTCACTGCTTTACACTCAAACACATTTGCCACGCTCCCTTTGGTCTGTTGCTGTGGCCACAGGCTAATTGGTTGCTCTGGAGACCAGTGACTCAAACAAAACAAGATTCCTTGAAAGCATGACGAACGTACAGTGAGGAAATGTGAAGGACGGCATTATGAGTCATGTATTGTCTCACTGTTTCTCAAAGCACTCAGAGGTCATCACAGACATTGACTTTTGAGAAGAGGTATTAACAGTGAAGTATGTTAAGTGTTCACTGTTATTGACTCACAAAAGCGGTTTCTCTGGAACTGATTATAAATGGTGGAAATCAGGGTAAATATTGACTCCGAAAAATTAGTAACACACTTGGCAGTTCTCTCAAAGTCAACATGTAATAAAAAAAAGGTTGACTTCTGGTACTAAGGCTCGTTCACACCAAGCACGATAACTATAAAGATAACAATAAAGATATAGTTCTAAATATCGTTCTCAATATTAAAGAATCCACACCAGTCCACACCACAACTATAACGATAAAGGCACAGAGAAACGATATCGTTGGAATCATGTTCAGAACGATTTTTTTCCAGCTGATGAATGATACAAACATTGACACCCAATCAGAATCCATCCTGCTATAACGAGCTCGAGAATTTAAAGTGGCAGACGCGCGTGTGCTTAGAATAAACAGACGATATCGTCCGCTGGTGTGGACGCTAATATCGTTATCTTTATAGTTATCATTCTTGGTGTGAACATGGCTTTACTCTGCACAATTTATCTGTGTAGGTTTTTAAATATTTGTGTTCATAATTGTTATTAAAATGTAACTTTCAAACCTCTGAAAGCATTTTCCTTTTCGGCTGATGTCACTTAGGCTCCTCAGGCTATTGGTTAAGGTTTATCAATAGCTATTTCGGCATTGTTAGGGCCCTATGAAATCTTTTTTATTTTATTTTTTTCAAAATTCAATTTTTCCCCTTTCAGTTGTTCTGGATTCCGTTTTTTTCTTTCTTTTGGTTTTCATTTTTCTAGACTCTGTTTAAATGGTTAAATTAAATTTTGTCCATCAAAAAGCATGTCTTATACTCACGCAAAGCATTATTTTAAGTTGTATATGCATGTATGTCCAACTTTATCCGCATACACACAGTAAATCGCATAGGGTAATGTATACTATGTTGCAAATCTCAGCTGCTTGAATGTATTGTTGCAAAATGTGAACTATATTATCACCCGGCTACGATAAGACATGAAGATATTAAGATATTATAAACATTAACATCATGATTTTCTGTAAAGCTGCTTTGAAACTGTGTATTATGGGGAAAAAAGTGATATTTAAATTCATTTGTGACCCTGGACCACAAAACCAGTCTTAAGTCGCTGGGGTATATTTGTAGCAATAGTCAAAAATACATTGTATGGGTCAAAATTATTGATTTTTCTTTTATGCCAAAAATCATTATGATATTAAGTAAAGATCATGTTCCATGAAGATATTTTGTATATTTCCTACCGTAAATATATTAAAACTTCATTTTTGATTAGTAATATACATTGCTAAGGACTTCATTTGGACAATTTTAAAGGCGATTTTCAAGTCAAGTCACCTTTATCGCTTTTAACAATACAGATTGTGTCAAAGCAACTGAACAGCATTAATTAGGAAAATATGGTGTCAATAATGCAAAATGATAATGGTAAACACTCAATTTTCAGTTAAAGGCAGTTCATCATTGAATTCAGTGATGTCGTCATCCAGCTCAGTTCAGTTCAAATAGTATCTGTGCAATCAAGTCAACGATATCGCTGGAAATGAAGTG